TGCACTATATTACCGCTACTGTATCTGCTTCGAAAAAAAAATCAAATCGTATTCTCTCAGATTATCATTGGCTGTAAAAGGTAAGTAATCGATAAGTGTTATTTGAAAAATTGATTGTAATGACAGGTCAAGCATTGAACATAATCTGTAATTATACCGTTGAACCTGTTTATTCTATCAATGCCGCAAAAGCACAAAGAATTTTTCTATCTTTGGGTAAATCAATAAAGATAGTTTTTTCATGAATCATGATTACGGTTAGAAGACAAGAGGATTTTTATTTGCGGAGTTGATGTTGTAAAATGCAGAGGGTTTGGTAGCCTGGTGTTTATCAACTCAATTAATTTCTTTTCTTTTGCAAGCCTACCAGAGAACAAAACACTTTACGAGAGAGGGAATGTGACGGTACATTTTTCCTCTTGTACATATCATCACCGGCGACATTACGTACCGACCCTCACTGCACATATTGTCGTCCATCGGTTCATATTGACATTGGTAACAATATGTGCCGAGACAATTTTTCCCTGGGCTACCAAATGTACCTTAAATATTAGTACGTATTGCCGTCGGAGATGCTTTGTATTGCAAACATTTGCTCTTGGAGAAGCATCATGCTAGGGGAATTTGATAATTGAGTTTCAGTATTACATTTTCAAGTAGTTTTATATTAAGGAAAATATTTCCAAATGTAAATATTTGTATTTTAGTGAATATGCCATCTCATAAAATCAGTACCCATGACTTATTTGTATTTTAGTGAATATGCCATCTTATAAAATCAGTATCTATGACTTTTAATATCATCGTCATCATCATCTATATTACCGGAAACCCAAACGGTGGGGCGACAATATATGTAATGAAGTTAGACACACTGTCAACGGGACAATATGCATTTGTATAATTTTGCAGCCGACGACAATATGTGCCGATAAACGACAATAGTTACAGTAGAGGCAGGTGCATAATATCGCCGACGACAATATGTACCATCACAGGAATTTGGGGCATAAATATTCAATCTTATCAGCCATAATCCAATGGTCCACTTCTACTATCTGATCCAATATATTGTTATCGCTCACCTGTTATATATGAGGATAATAGAATCATTCATTACTACGAGTGTGGGATAGTGAAATTCCACCGAGGGGATAAGATTCACAAAATCTACGACGAAGCTTTACCCAGTCCTAGGCAGTGAATCTTGGCCCCGAGGTGGAATTTCACTATCCCACACGAGTATGTAATGAATGATTATTTTTCTTGCATTATTTTATCCAAAATAACGGCATGCCATCACCACCGAAAAATTTATATTTTTAATTTAGCATCTAATTAAAAATCTGAATACACCATCAAAGAAATCGTACATGAGAATGGTTTACACGAAATCGTGTGAACTGAGAAAATAAATTTCAGTCCACGAACATCATTCTGGATAATATAAACTGAATTTAAAAAAAAGAAAGATAGCAAAACATTTTCGAAGAATCCTTCCGCGACCTACAAATAGTGCCATTTAGAAAGTGAAAATAAGACAATTTTTTGAATGAAAATAAATTTGAATAAATAAATTAAACAACAACATTTTAAGAATATGTGAATATTTTATAGACATTCTTACAAGTATTATATAAGAAGGAATGTTTACGTTACCGTTCGCAGCGTAGTAATACGCTGTGTAAAACAGAAAAATCTTACACTGCTATCTCACACTAGACATGTCTATCTAACATCGGTGATTATGCGAGAGAGTTTGATTCCAACTTGTACTACTATATATATATATTGACCAATGTATATTTCGTGCATATTCTGATAGCAATATACATTTTTATTCCTCGTTTTAGTTTTTAGGTTTCCAGTAAATTGATTTTTTTTCCTAAAATTAAATTTTCAAAATGTATAGAAAACGATAAAAAAAAAAAACTGGCATAGGAAAATGTTGTTACCCATTAATATCTTCCTTAATAATTGTAAGTAAGATATGAATATTTAATATCAGATGATAAGTTCCAAAATCATAAACATCAAAACGTACGACTTTTCAACACTTTCTACAACCATTTGCAACGATAAATTAAAGTCTAGGCTTTTTGACATCATGGACAGCTGCTTTTTCAATGAAAATGGAACTCGTAAATATACTAGCCCTGTCACTGGTTTTATGCATAATTTTTTTGTTAAAAACATTCTGATTGTACCCACAAGTACTCTGAAGTTGATATTAAAAATTAAAGATACTTGAGTTTCTGAATGACAATATCTCTGTTGGAATTCCCATGGGTACCAATTGCGCCCCGCTTTTAGCAGACCTATTTTTGTATTCATATGAAGCAGAATTTATTCAAAAACCTCTACATGAGAAGAAGAAAACATTTGCGGCCTTCAATTTGACATTTAGATATATCGATGACGTATTATCAATCAACAATAGTTACTTCCATTCATATGTCGATTCGATATATCCCAGTGAACTTGAAATAAAAGACATCACAGAGTTTAACTCATCTGTTTCCTATTTGGATGTTGTACTAGGAAAGACGTTAATGGTAACCTAACAAAAAACTTTATGATAAACGTGATGACTTCAACTTTTCTATCGTCAACTTCCCTTAATTATGTAGCAATATACCCTTATCACCTGCATATGTGGTTTTTGTTTCCCAATTGATACGCAAGACCATGATCTACTTATTATCAATTTTTTAAATGAGGCAAGCTATTAACCAACCGCTTGATGAAACAAGGATATCAACAGACTCGTTTGAAGTCATCATTTCGCAAGTTCTGTGGTCGATACAATGATCTTGTCAGCAAATACAATTTATTATTAAGTCCAATGCTGACTGACGGTTTTCATACTAATTGTTAGGACATTATTTACAGGCTGAATTATCTACGGGTTTTTCCGATATTTACCGATCATGACAAGGAGCACACGGCGGGTGTGACCAGTCGCAGGGGATGCTTACTCCTCCATGGCACCTGATCCCACCTCTGTTTTTCAGAGGTCCGTGTTTGCTCTGCTCCTGATTCGTATTGTTTTAATGGACTTTGAGCTTGAATACTGTTCGTTATCTCCATATTTCATCTTTGAGTGAAGGGGAACAAAAATTGTGAATTTCATGGTCCCTGCCAGCAAATTACAATCTATCTTTAGGTCAAATGCTGACTGACGTTTTTCACACTGATTGTAAGGACATTGTTTACAAACTCAAATTTCTACGAAATTTTCCGTTTACCCGATCATGACAAGGAGCATACCGCGGGTGTGACCGGTCGAAAGGGAATGCTTACTCCTCCATGGCACCTGATCCCGCCTCTGGTGTTTTTGGAGGTCCGTGTTTACTCTGCTATCGATTTGTATTCTTTAAATGGACTATGAGCTTAAATACTGTTCGTTATCTCCATGTCTCATTACAAGAACTGGGCAGATAAACACATTTAAACATTTATGGAAAAGATTAGACTGTATAATGAAAAATGTCATCTTCTATCCATCAAAAATTATATAACTCATCGATCACAACAGAGAAAGAAATGTACTTTGTCTAATTGTCTCAGACTTGATTTATCTTTAATGTAGAATTATAAAAAAATGTATTTAAAATTTAGTTTTTCTCTTAGAATTGAAATAATATCAGAGACCATGTCATAGGTCACAAAAACCTCAGTAATTAATTATTTATGCGCTGTATATGATATTTCAGTTGTTTACCAAAAATAGCCTGGTGTTTTCTCCACAAAATATATTATTTTAAAGTCTAGAAGGTTAGAACCTTATGAAAGTTCCTTAATCAAAACAATGAATCAGCGTCATGTCTTTTTTCATCCTTTTTTCAATTATATTTCCTGATTTCTGCCTTTTCATGTGGCAATGCTTTGTTTTCTTTGAAAAGCTCTATTAAATGAATATCATTCAGAATACAAGGTAATGTATCTGTCGCCCATTCTTTAAACAATTTGTGTTCAAATCTCACTCCTCTTAGAGCAATTGTCTTGTTTCAACAGCATGGTTCACAAATAGAATACAACAAACATCGTCATTTGTGTACATGTATCAGTTTGTTGTTCAACTGATGTTTTTCTTAAAGTTGTGTTTCTGTTGATACACATATTAATGTTATATGTGTGAAACAGAAGAATCGGTATGGTATTTACTTACAATAGCTTAAATATGTCCTCTGACGCTTTGCTCAATTACACTTGATTTTATTGAACGACATTGAGACCTTAGATCATTATTGCAATGCAGCACTTTCTGAAAGAACAATCAAACATTATGTCATTTTAAGTTGTTGTTTCTGAGGTTTGGGCCAAACACAGAGGATATAATGACATTATTGTTCAAGGATCTTGAATGTTTTCCTCTCTATTGCCTCAGATTAGCTGCACTGTACAAACTGTCTGGGCAAAAAAATATCTGTTCAAAACTTGTGTTAATGGAGTAATGCAGTGAAAATGTTTTGTCATCATAGCGACAGATTTTCTATCAAATGCATCTGATGAAAGAATTAAGAGATATCACTCTTATTTATGAAAGAAATCCATTCAAATTCGAAGAAATTATATTAGAAAAGATAAAAAGAGTAAATCTAATATATTACCTTGTCCAGCATAACTTACTGTTTACAGTTTTGACTTTGTTTGGATGTTTTGTTTTGTTTTTTCTTCATTACTTTGTTGAATATTTTAACAAAAATCAATAGATACACATGTACTTTAAAAACGTTCGATTTTTAAAATATGTTTCCACTTTATTAGACAAGTATATGTTTCCACTTTATTAGACAAGTATATTATTTACTTTTATTCCCATTGCTTTGTATTTTCTTGATTTGATTTAAGATCTTAAAGACTCAGTGCTTGGCTATCATACGCATTCACCCGATACCTCATGATCGCAGTGAACTTGGACGGAACCCTTTAAATGTCTGTAACGTTACACACAAACATCCAAACACATCGATCTAGCTTAAACAACAGTAACGATGAAGAAGGGGAATATCTTTCATTGGATAATCTTTATGGTGGTAAACTTTGTAGGGTCTCAGCAAATGAAAAGGTAAGTCAATCACATCTGGCATGAAAATCGAAATTCAGTCCTTTGACTAATGACTTCTTTCAATTCCTGTTCATAAGTTTCAAAAATTGATGGCAAACGGATTTTGTTACTAAAAAATTTGCATGCTACCGTTTGCTATTTGTTTTAAATATTCTATTATCAGAAGGGAGAAAAGTCCATACAAGATTTGATCTTTGTTGTGTATGTTGACATATGTTACGAATGAAAGTGAGAATGATATACATGTATATCCAAAAAAGGTAAAACTGCATGATCTATTGATAGAGGATATATCGGCATATTCATTACATATTTAAAAACAGTAAAATTGAAATGTATATTAAGACTTTGTTTTCAAAATGACTTTTGAATAAAGAATAGGATAAATTAAGATATTTTTTATTCATAGTTTATTTAGTCATTTTAATTTAACACTTCGGAGATATCGGCATACTAAAATAAAAAACTACAAAAAGAATCGCTAAACAAAGAATTATCAAAGATATGAATCCTCTCATATTATAATTAGTCAATTATGATACACAAAACAAAAATGTAAACTAAACCATTGATCCAAGAATTATGGTATAATGAATTATGAATTATGGTATTATGGTAAGTTTAATGGACTTTTGAGCTTGAATATTGTTCGTTATCTCCATATTTTATTCAAAACTAGCAAGAAAATTGTAAGCTAACATCAACTTATTTTGATTTCTTTTTGCTTAAATGTATATGAAACCCGAATGTAAATTTGGAATTGAGAAAAAATGTGTTCAAATGTAAGTAATTTTCATTTACATTTACTTTATGAATCCCTCTTGCATTGTGCCATGGGGATTGCTAGTTCAGATTTCTCATGTGCATTAACTGTATCGTTTGAAATGTGAACATAAGCCACAAGAGGTTTAGTAGCTTTAAACAATTTTTTCTTTTCATGCCGATTGCAATTTACCAAAAAAGTTGATTGTCTATGCAAACATTTTTCCATGAAAGCTCAAACCAAGTACACTATGCATGTAAAACGTATTGCATTAAATATTTCATGAAGACCCCTATACGATTAAAGAGACTTTACCAAGAGGAATAATGCTGTTATCTGCACATTTCACTAGGTGTTAATCAGCATTAGTGTTCCCATTTCAGGAGAGATATTTTAAAAACACTACTTAGCAGTGCAGAATATGACCCTAGAATTCCACCTGATTACGAAAAAGGTACATGTTTCTTATATCATCATTATTATTATTACTTTATCTTATAAGTATTAATTTATAATAATGTAAAGAACGGTGTTTTTTTAACATTTAGCATAAACCAGATATAATGCTTGCAAGATAGATTCACCGTAATTCAAATTGCAAACATGTTATAGAAAAATAAGTTCCAGCGGAAGAATTGAAGCGTCGGTTGTTATGAATACATGGTAAGTTTTAGAAAAAAATCGTTTCGATACATACACTGTGTTAGCATCTTTATATTTCAAAATTGTCAAACATTTAGAAACAAAATGTTATTCTTCATTTCTTCAATCACTCCTTCCTATATTTTGAGTCAAACAACATGTACAGGTATAGAATAAGAATTTCATTTAATCTTGTAAGGAACGTAGAAATATACTGCTGTCACCTGCATATGGTGTCTATGTCTCTCAACTTAATCGATACTCAAAAACATGCTCTGAGAACGATCAATTTTAAGCCGAAGCAGGCTAATGACAGATTAGTTGATGTAACAGGTATTTCATCAACTTCGTTTAAAGTCAGCATGTCGTAAATTTATGGTCGTTATGATAATATAACAATTATGATGACATCGTTAGCAAATATAACTCATCATTGGGTCTTATTTTTGCTGACGTGTTTCATACAAATTGTTAGGCCTTTGTTTATATACATGCTCTGAGAACGATCAATTTTAAGCCGAAGCAGGCTACTGACAGATTAGTTGATGTAACAGGTATTTCATCAACTTCGTTTAAAGTCAGCATGTCGTAAATTTATGGTCGTTATAATAATATAACAATTATGATGACACCGTTAGCAAATATAACTCATCATTGGGTCTTATTTTTGCTGACGTGTTTCATACAAATTGTTAGGCCTTTGTTTATATACTAAATTTGACTACGGCATGTTCTGTTTACCTGATCAAAACATAGGGTTTACGGCAGGTGAGACCGGTTAACAGGGGATGCTTACTCCTCCTAGGCACCTGTTCCCACCTCAGGAATTTCCGGGGGCGTGTTTTATGCCCTGTTCACAGATATGTGTTGTTTGTAGTTTTTTTTTTTGTTTTTTTTTTTTTGAATGATCACTGTTCATATCTTCTTCTTTTTCATTATCAATATTTACTTGAATCCTTGAATAATTTATTTAATTTTCATTTGAAACTGAATTTTGATTTAAACAAATATTTAATTAGGATTAGTATGCATGGTCTTTCAATTTTTCCATTCTCAGACATTTCATTGACGGCATCTTTTTTCCTTAAATTGTAGATATTGCAACAGAAGTTGATGTCCAGCTTTTCATTATCAGTATTGATTCAATTAATGAAATGTCAATGGTAAGTGATTTACGTTGACGTTTGTTTGATTTTTTGATTATTGTTTAACGTCCCTCCCGAGAGTTTTTCACTCATATGGAGACGCCACTACTTACCGGTGGAGCTGCAAATTTATACCTTAAGTTTACTCGGCACTCGGGGCCATTGAGCAGCGAGGGATCTTTTCTTGCCAACACCTACACGGGACCTCGGTTCTCATCCAAAAGACCGGTCTCCACGTCCCGCAGAGGATACGAAATTGCGACGTAAGGATCACCACCTTACTTCGCGACTCTAGAGCAGATGCTCTAACCACTACGCCAAGCGTGCGACTAGGTTGACGTAGAAACTCGTGTTTAATGTGGGTGATTGAATTTCGCTGAACTTTAAAACAATATTGTAAAGGGTCTTTTTAGTTAGAAAATCCGGTATCTTTTCTATTCGGCATGCCTCAAGATTTAATTTAAGATTGTACACATAGTATAATTAGGTTATATTAGAAGATGCATAAAAACTAGCAAACATTGTAATTATCTAAAAATCCTGACTTATTAGCCCCTTGTCAATTAAACACTGATTTGAAATTGTGCATTCTTTGCCAAAAATCAATTAATAACTATTTAACGATCGCCAGTGCAGAGAATACCGATTTTTCTATTGTGTATGCAACGTTCACTCGATAGTTTTACATGAATATGGCAATAATAAAACAGTATTATTGTTAGGCGAATTCCAAATGCTTTTAAAATGTCTCATTATTTATGAATTCTTGCTATATAGAAAATTCCGACAGAGGAACAATATTGGCTAAATCTCGGGTCCATATATATCGGAACTGAAAATTCCATGACCTCGGGGACAAATATTTTCTTAATAATTTCAATAACTATCTTTTATTTGGCGAAATAAGAAAAATGGTTGATATTGTATCAAATAAACATATTTTTCACAAAGAAATGAGAAGAAAAGCATGAAATCTATTTCAGTTCTTTCACATTGTCACGTTTTCTTTTTGCTTTTAGGATTACACGCTTAACCTCTTCATTCGTCAGACTTGGATGGATCCGCGCCTGAGCTTTTCTCATCTTAGCAATATCAGCATCCTGGAACTAGACCAGAAGCTTATAGGAGATGTTTGGGTTCCCGATACGTACTTCCAAAACGAGAAAAGCGCAACAATTCACACAGTTACCGTGCCAAATAAGCTTCTCCACATTTACAATAACGGCCTTATTAGATACAGTATCAGGTTATAAAGCTCAATTTCGACTTAGTTCCTTCTGAGTACAGATCACATTCTATTACTGTACCATTTTATTTGAGAATTTTTTTTTACCTATATCTGACAAAATGAAAATTTCAGGACTTTTTACATATAACTTACTTGTGTTATTTTCAATTTTATGTGATTACTTTTACAGATCGATATCCAAAAATATTTTTGCAATACCAGATTGTTGTTGAATTTTTGAAAAATCGGAGTCCATAATCAGTTTAAGGATAGATGATACAAACATACTTTATCAAAAAATTTGAAAATATCAACTTTAGTTATGTTAATATATGTAAAATGAATTTTTTATTCAAAGTTTCACAATAATGGGATTTAAGGTGACAAAAAGTTGTATAGATTAATACGGATGGTACAGAAAGATAGAATTTTGAACATCACAGGAAGTTCACAATTTCTAAATATTTTAGAAATTTATTATTTGCATCATTTACAACCAAAATATGTCAAAATATATATATACCTATCCAGGCATCCATTTTTTGTTTGTACCATCTGTCCTTAATCTTTATTTTCTCTAACAAAATACTGTACAGTGCTTACAGTGCAGTCTTTTTTCAAGTGCTATGAAAGAATTTTGCATGTACATGTACATAAAATGTAGAACCACATGTTCAAATTATAAAATCAAAAATATTCAGTCAATTGATTGCATCAAAGTCTGACGAAGCCATAGACGTGTAGCAGAAACAAAACAAAAACCCACACCTTAGTCGATACGTCTGCCAATTTCTAGACACAATGGCAGTTATTGGTACTACATCAAATCAAGTGTGTCGCGGAGGTTGCATATTCCGGGCACAGAAACATTAATGCAAAATGATCAAAGTATATTTAATGAAGGAGATAAGAAATGTAACATGTTTACCCTCTGTAATATCAATTGTACTGAAAGATGAAGAGGAATCCATTTAATCATCATAATTCAAAACATAGTATATTCTTTACAATATAGATCTTTGATCAAGAAAGAAGAATTTGCAACTATTCTCCAAACTCAGAAAAATTCAGTTCAATTGTATTTTTATTTGTTATGAATGACCAGGCTCGGTGGCAACAATCTTCATTTATTAGGAAATATACTATCATATTGTATGATATATTATTTAAATATTTGAGAATAACTCGCTATATGAATTATATTCATAGATTATCATTGACGCTTTCCTGTACCATGGACTTGAGATTTTACCCTATGGATGACCAGACATGCTCCATTTTCATGGAAAGTTGTAAGTAGTCCTGATCAATAAGAAACACTACCACTTTACCTTTTGAATAAATACAATGCACACTAAAGAGTTCTAGTTCTCTGGTAATTTCATGCAGTAAAATTGTTCTGCGTTTAAATCATATGAAAAGAGATTAGCTTTTAATAGCACAATTTATAATTCAATCAATATTAATATTTTATAAGACAAAAATAATTAAATTGAACACTTTATTGGGATGTTTTCCCCATTCATGTAAGCAACAGTGAATTCTTTTCATCGATACTTTGTTGTCTTTGAACAATTTTCTTCGGGGCAAATAGCTTGGACCCTAATAACCTTTATACCATATAATTTTCTCAATGTCCAAAAAACTTTTCTCATGTTTGTATATATAGAGGGTCCTTAATATTTCAATATTATTCTAGAAGATTGTAATAAGGGTATTTTTTATTCTGTGTATGAATGATTCAGAGCTATGATTTTGATATGATTGCATCCTCCACATATATCTGTTGATCTGTAGCATTTTAAAAACCTGTTGAGACGATGCATGAAAAACATTTAAGTCGTTTGCAAAGATAAAATCAGTTAGCTTATTAAAGTTAACAATTTTGACTTGCAGATGGCTATTCTATTCAGAATGTTATACTGATGTGGAACCCGGATGATGCTGTCATTATAGGAGCAGCACATGCTGATGAACAGACATTGCCGCAGTTTTATTTTTACAAACCATTGGAAACCCTTGGATGCTCAACCATAAATTCTTTCAGTATGCTTAAAATACTTTCCAAAATTTTAAAATAATAGATGTTCACATTACGTATATTTTTCACCAACTTAAATACATCAGTTCTAAGTTAGCTTTGAAGTACATGTAAAAGCATAATCATAAGTGTACATGTATGTGTTGTGCGGTTGATAGACGAAGATTGATTTATTAAAGAGATGAATTTAATATTTGAGAATTCATGAGGACATGTACTACGATGCTTCAAGCCGGCATATTTCATGAAGCGCGTTAGTACTTCATGATAAATATGCAGGGATGAAGCGTTGTAGTTCATGTATCTCATGAATTCTCAAAAATTAAATTCATATCTTATATTTGCATTATTTTTCTGATGATTTGCCACATATCTTTGTCATTCAACGATCATTTTTTGAAAAAAAAAGTTTGCACTATTTTTTGACTTCAATCACAATGGAAATATTCTTACTCATCCCACGCTAGTTCATGAGAACATGAACTTTTTCTAATTTGCAAAGAATCTTAATGAACTTATGGACGTTCATGCCTACTTTACTTTTTTAATTAGGGACCCAATTGAGATTTTTCTAACCAAAGGTATGCTCCATGTCCGTTTACCAGTAACTGTTGTTTCTCAATGTTCCTCATTTAGTCTTCTTCTGCAGAGAAAATACGCATTTTTTTTATCAAATCAAACATTGCACGAAGTATCCATCGAGGAACAACTGCTTCCAAAAGTGTGAGATTCTAGCTAACTCTTCTTATTCTGTTATTCAATTCGTGTTAGGCTATCTTATCAATTATACACGAAACCTTAACGTGTTTATGAAGAGATAACACGATTAAGGATTCCTTTGACAAGAACCTTTTGGCAATTAAGGTGAATCAAGAATCCGAAGATGAAAATTACTCATAGTTACTGAAGTAAATAATACTCTGACGTTAAAGAAACCTCCTCTTGTGAAAAATATACCTCCAGCAACACAAATTGGACTATAGTTAATACCTTTCCCAGTGGATTTAAGTCTATCGACGTACCCATTTCTCCCGGATTATTTCACTAGAGAGGAAGTTATTAAACAAACTAATTTCATTGATTCGCCATCACTATATAAAAAATGAGCAAAGATAAAATATATAAAAGCTATTAACAAGGAGATTAACATGGGATATGAGCAATTTCCGTGCATTTGCAACTACGTTTTACGTTGCTACTCTTTGGCATCGATCAAAATCTCACTTCAAGAATATTTTTGATGCATTTGGACTTGAATAACTTATTATTTTAAAATGTTTGATTAAGTAGATTGAAACTTTCCTTCTATACAAGTTCATTTGTGGTATTTAATTTAAAATATCTTGTCGCTTTTTCTGTCTTGGGAGAATTACGCCAAATTAAAAATGAGTTCGTATAGCTTTGGACAGAAATTACACTAGCTAATAATTCTTGACAGTTGAGAATATGTCTGTGTCTGACAATTTCTAGTAAGCATATGGAAATGATAAATTTATCTTGCAGTTGATACTTTCCGAAGAATTGTATTTTATTTCATTTTTATTTTCAATTAAAAGAAATTGGTTAGATTTTTTACTCATTTTCTAACGGCAACAACAATTGTGTGACATTGTATACTTTGAATCGTTTGAAACTTTTAATATTTTCAATTATATGTTAAGCTAGAAAAAAAATGTGTTAACATCTTTTATGAACAAATTCAATAAACATTTAGCTAAGATACGTATTGAGAATAAATAAAGAGGAAAACAAAAGATTTGATAAATTTTACAATCTTATTAAAGCTTTTATATTGAATTTAACGATTGATATTTTTGCTTTTTTGTATTTAACTGTTCTTCTTTTTGCACGAATAACATTCTTAATGCGACTATCTATTAAAGTTCTTCTTAGGACGTTTTTGGAATTAAGCACTTTTCCCGCTAGATTGTCTTCAACATATCTTTACTAGTGGATGCTATGTTTTGGCCAAGTGTTTCCTTTATTCAAAATGATTTCAATTTATTTAAATTGGCAGTGTTTCCCTGTGTAGAAACTGCAAAGGGTTTGAGAGGGTATCTTGTGCTCATCAGGAAACTCTAAAACATTTTGGTACCATGTGTGTTTGTTACATGGAAATATTTCCCAGAAATCGATTTGTATTTATTATTTAGTACCGTGTCATAAGTCAAGTTTCTCAAATGCAATCAGTTTCTACACTTCCTGTGATGAAAAAGTCCTGATTATAATCCAGTTAGAAATATTTGGGGTCTAAGAAAGAAAATAAGGCTGCTGAAAGGGGAAATTGGGCAATTGAGATAAAATATTAATCATGAATATAGAAATTATAAATTCCAAAATTCACAATATCTTTTTTAATTTAATTTTTGTATAGTGACAATATATTTCTCCCAAATTGTGCATTTAATTTGTTCACAAAAGCAATTTTGAGTTGTATGCTTTAAGATACTAGTATCTTTAAGGAATTTATGATGATTATTTCGCACTTGTACGCACTGGAGCAAGTAAAAAAAATTAGCATGTTATGATGTCAGTATGCTTATATAGAAAAGATATTATATTCGCCTTTTAGTTCATACCTCATTACACCAAATACACTCAGTTCTTTAGATGTATTTGAAGACGGTTAAGCAAAATAATGCACGATAATACAAATACAAACAATAACTTTAAAACTTCATCTTGAACTTTATAACTACCGGGTATCTGACAAATATAGGCGTTTTCAAAACGACAAATTCAGTCGTTAATTGATAATTAATCATACATACATATCAAAATTAAACTGCAATTATAGTTCCGTTTACGGAATGTTATAGGAAATAAGTTTGATTCGATCTGAGATTTAGCCCCATACATCAAAGATCAGCTCTTTGTCTAAATAACATAAAATGACCACCTTAGATAAAACGACAGGTACATATACAATTATCCTGATATCTTAGTGGGCGACACATTTTTTTAAATCTAAAATTATGGATTTTGTGCAACTACTTTTAAATATGTATGTTAGTATCTGTAGACAAAAGAAAGAAAATGAAAGAATTGAAATTACGTGTTAGTCTTTGCATGTTTCTTTACCAGATATTTCCGAATTTAAAATGTAATTTCTGTTCTTTTCAGACGTGGAATTCTCTTGTCTCCAGGCTAAATTGTTTTTCCGAAGAAATCTAGGATATTACATGTCACAAGTGTTCATTCCCAGCATGCTTATCGTCACTCTCTCCTGGATCTCATTTTGGATTCATGTGGATGCTGTTCCCGCGAGAGTCTCGCTCGGGGTCATATGCGTGCTCACTATGACAACACAAAGTTCTGGTTTAAGAAACTCTCTTCCACGCGTTTCCTATATAAAAGCGATAGATATATGGATGGCTTTTGGACTTTTATTTGTCTTTGCAGCGCTTCTTGAATATGCCTTCATTAACATACAGACAAGGAAACATCAAAAGCGGACAAAGGTAACTGTAGTTGTAACTATGGCTTTCATATTTCACATGTGTATTTCTTGTGACAAGACCTTTCTTTGGGCACATGTACCATATGTTCGAACTGTTCAGAAAATACTCAGAATATAAAGTATGCTGTTTAAGCCAACTTTAAAGTAAATATTTGTTTTTATACCCCCGTAATCGAAGATTCGGGGGCATATAGTTTTTGCCCTGTCCATCCCTCTGTCTGTCTGTCTTTCTGATTGTCTGTTTGTCCGCAAAAACTCTAACATTGCCCGTAACTTTTGATTGGTAGAGACAATGACTTTCAAATTTCACACATGTATTTCATGTGACAAGACATTTCTTTGGGTACCATCAGATTTGACCGTTTGACACTGACCTTTGAGTTTGACCAAGTTTTGCAAAATTTTACTCAATCTTGGCCATAACTTTTGAACAGTTGGTGCTAGGGCTTTCATATTTCACACGTGTAATCCTTGTGACAAGACCTTCCTTGGAATACCAACAACTTTTGACTTTGACCTTGGAGTTTGACCTACTTTTGAAAAACTTCAACCTTGGCCATAACTTTTAAATGGTTGGTGCTAGGGCTTTCATTTTTTACATATGTATACCTTGTGACTAGGCCTTTCTTTGGCACCATTAACCTTGACTATTTGACCCTGACCTTGATGTTTGTGCTACTTTTGAAAAGGAATACACATGTGAAATATGAAAGCCATGGCTTATCTTTTCAATGGTTGCTGTTGTGGCTTTCATATTTCACAGGTGTATTCCTCGAGACAAGACCTTACTGTGGGTACCAACATATTTGATTTGCTTTTGAGAAAGTTAAGCTTTCGCTATAAGTTGCCATCGGGGGGGCATCAGTGTTATATCTTGATTTATATTTCTTGAAATATCTTGATTTTTTTATTTTTATTATTATTATTATTATTATTATTTATTCTTACAACATAAAATTACACTTTTATTCTATTCATAAGAAATATGCGATATACATTATTGAGTAAGCAATGGTATAGCTATAGGTTCATGAATCTGAGTCTTTTTTTCTCCTGGTAGGAACTGAAAGTACTTTTTGTATAATTGTGTAAAGAAAGATTGATTAACTTGAAGAAGGTTGGTGTTATTAATTTCCAGAAATGCACATCGAAAAGTGCCTGATTGCAATCGTAAAATTTTAAAACACAATTACGTACATGAGATGAAATGGGACGTCAGCAGAATTTTTTAAAATTCATTTTATTTGGAAGATTATAAAATGTTTTTTATGATTTTTAGATGCAAGAGAAGGACGAGAAAAAGTATGAAACCATCGATGAACAGAAGAATGTTGATTTTATGGCACGGGCTCGCCGTGTGGACAGATTGTCTCGAGTTGTCTTTCCTGTATCGTACATACTGTTTAACATCGTGTTCTGGAGCCTTTATTTATCGAAATAAATAATTGTCGATAAAACACTGAAAATATCAACGAATCTTCCCAAGAAAACGTTGCTCAACTAAAATCATTCATGCCTTGCCTCATGTATAACGTGGCCAGAGTTGCTTTGTGGTGGACGAACATTGATTTATAATCACTTTATTATCAATATTTAAAGGCCCCATTCTTGTCACTAATAAGTAAATTTTAAACTTTTGTATGTTCTTTAATGTGTTTTTTATTGATATAATAAAAAATATTTATCGTTTTCAATACCACACTGTTGTATTTCTTTATGACAACTTTATGACCTTATTAAAAACTTTTCAAAATAATACCACACTGTATATTTCTTTATTACAACTTAATGACCTTAATAAAAACTTTACTAAATTTAACAAAAGACTTTTACCTTGGATCAAAATTTTAACTAATTAGGTATACAAATTTTCTTGAAACTACAAAATAAGAATGTTTAATATTTTATTTTAGAATTTTTAGCCCAGACGAAAATGTCATTTTCGAACTGATAATTAATATTGTTCAAATGAACTTGGAACATAGTTATGACAAACACTCAAGTAATAGTTGTTCTTAGCAGAAGCAAGATGCAGATACTCCCCTTCTACAAACATACCCCTTGCCATTAGTTACCCTTGTAAACATTCCAATTACATGTGATACGCAAATCGAAAGTATTAATCAATAGATTAAAAAATGCATTCTATATATGTTGATAAACGATTCCAAACTGTTGCCTTCACAAGTGATGCATGGTCCAACATCTAATGTGAAATGGAAATTAAAAACAACAAATATAATTCTTTTTTTACTTTAAAAAAAACTTTGCCATTCCCTGATGCATCCACTATGAAGGAGACTTTGAAGGGTTATTTTTAAATTTATATAAGTCTGTATCTGGCGACCATTTCACCAACATGGTCGTAGCTCGAAAATGTACACGTAAATGTAGGCGTAGCACGTACAATGTAAGTCCCTTTCACAAAGAGTTGTGATTTGTAAGTGAAACGGTTCCTGATTATTTTTTCTGAGAAAGTTCAAATATTATCCAAAAAAGTTGCATTTATAAAAATTGAATATATCGATTTTCAAAATAAGTTTCCTATTTTCATCGAACGAGAATTCCTTTATTATCATTTTAAATAGTGCATAGTACAGAGTTTTAGTCGATAGAGGGAAATATTGACAATGTTTACTTACCATAAAGGAAAGGAAATTTCAAGAGTCAATTTTATGCCCTCTTCACACGGAGAGTTTAATTTGAATTAAACGTAAGCTACTGCGAATTAAATTTGATCCGCGTTCACACGGAGAATTTAATGCGAATTATTTTAATTCGAATTAGTTTACTGCGCATTAAATTACTTCGCATTAGCTCCGTGTGAAGGTTAAGCGAAGCTAATTCGAATTTAATTTTGACGCATGCGTAAGGGCAGAATAAAGTCACAGGCCACATGTCGATGGTCAAATATAGGTACTTGTATATATATATATATATATATAATATAGGTACTATTTTTGAGTGGAAATCATTAAAGGAAAATTATGTTAATCACTAAAATGTGTACAGACACTATGACATTATGCCACATGTATATCTGCTCTGCACAATATGACGTGATTTGTAAATGACGTCATAATGCCCTTACTGAATAGCCTTATAGTAGAAATAAAATTTCAATTCGCATTAGTTTACTTCGCATCAGTGTCGTGTGAACGCAATTTAATTCGCATTAGTTTAATTTGCATCATTTTATGCCCTGTTCACACGGAGAGTTTAATTCGAATTAAACGTAAGTTACTGCGAATTAAATTTGAACCGCGTTCACACGGGGAATTTAATGCGAATTAGTTTAATTCTAATTAATTTACTGCGCATTGAATAACTTCGCATTAGCTTCGTGTGAACTTTAAGCGAAGCTAATACGAATTAAATTTTTACGCATGCGTAATGGCAAAATTAAGTCACATGCCACCTGTCGGTGGTCAGATATAGGTACTTCTGCTATTTTTTAGTTAAAACAAAGGAAAATTATGTTTTAAAATCACTGAAATGTGAACAGACACTATGACATTTTGTCATATGGATCTGCTCTGCATAAAGTGACGTGATTTGAAAATGACGTCATAATAGTCTTGATGAATAGCCTTACTGTAGAAATAAAATTTTAATTCGCATTAGTTTACTTCGCATTAGCTGTCGTGTGAACGCAATTTAATTCGCATAAGTTTACTTCGCATTAGTTTACTTCGAATTAAACTCTCCATGTGAACAGGGCATTACTTCGCATTAATTTACTGCGAATTAAACTCTCTGTGTGAACAGGGCATTAATTTCCTTATGTGTCTTATAATTGAGTGCGTTTTTCCGTGTCATTGATTAAAGCTTCCTCAGTAAACTAACTATTGAATTGAAATATTCAGAACTGAATTAATTTAACAAAGATAATGTACTAATCTATTGTAATTTAGATATAAACCAGGAAATAGAAAAGAGAGAAGCAACTGAAATGCTACTTAAACTCGATCAAACACCATACTATTACACGGAAATTTATAGAAAAATATTAATGAAATCTTCATAATAATTATGTTTTTAACAAAATAATGCCCTGTTCACACGGAGAGTTTAATACGAAGTAAAATAATGCGAATCAAACTAACGCGAATTAAATTGCGTTCACACGACAGCTAATGCGAAGTAAGCTTATGCGAATTAAAATTTTGTTTCTAGAGTAAGGCTATTCAGAAAGGCTATTATGACGTCACCTTATGCAGAGCAGATCCATCTGCCATAATGTCATAATGTCATAGTGTCTGTACACATTTCAGTGATTAAGTACAAGTCTCTGTAAGAATCAGGCAAAAGGTGAATCATGAGGGTTCTCAGAATCAGATGATTTTCACCACATAGATTTCTCTTGTGCTATAAAAAATGTATGCAAAATTAAAAATAGGTTTGGGTCATGGTTACTATGGAACGTAATTTTCCTTTGTTCTTCACTAAAAAATAGCATAAGTACGTATGTCTGATCACCTACATATGGCATTTGACTTAATTTTGCCATTACGCATACGTCAAAATTTAATTCGAATTAACTTCGCTTAGCGCTCACACGGACCTAATGCGAAGTAATTTAATGCGCAGTAAACTAATCCGAATTAAACTAATTCGCATTAAATTCCCCGTGTGAACGCTGTTTAGATTTAATTCGCAGTAACTTACGTTTAATTCGAATTAAACTCTGCGTGTGAACAGGGCATAAGATTTTGGCTACTTCGCATTAGTTGTCGTGTGAACGCAATTTAATTCGCATTAGTTTAATTCGCATCATTTTACTTCGCATTAATTTACTGTGAATTGAACTCTCCGTGTGAACAGGGCATTAGATACATAGTTACATACAAACAGAATGATGAATGATTGATTCCCACATTTCATTGCCACATTGTCCGCTATTAATGTTTGAAAAAAATTCCACGGGAAAAGGTACCCACATTACGTTTGAGCTTTTGTATGAGATCTCAAAACGACAGAAAGTCCTATATTCTGCTTACAGGAAATGGGCATGAGTGACACAAGTGGAAACATTCAAAGATTTTTAATTTTGTACTCGCTGTTCAAATGATAATTTAAAGTGTTTTTTTTTTTTTAATTTTAATCACTGATACAAATAATCGGATTTTTTGTATGTTGTGAATATTTCCTTGATTTTATATCTTTATAGATTCGTTTTCTAGCTTTTAATTACATTCTTTGGCCATTTTACCTTCCTACTGACAGCTTACCGGGAGCTCTTTAAATCCCCTAATATTACGCGCCCACTTCCTTCTCAGTCTTAACTTTCATAATGGAAGCAATGAAGAAAGAGTTTATTTCTATTTGGATTATTTTTTTGTTGGTCAATTTGGTTTGTAGTCAACAAATGAAAAGGTAAGTGAATGGTCAGTACAGTACATGATCTATTACTTTCTTCACAGAAACATGTTTGCTAATGAGTGTGAAATGGAATGTAGATATTTTAAGTAATATTTTCTCATTCATATTACTTCATCTGATGGTGAGGTTTGTGGATTTCTGGACTTCTCCCAATACAAGTCGAATGTGAATTCACTATGATTCAATTGTCACTCAATCTGGAAAAGACTCAATGTAGGCATACATGTATAATAGAAATTGTTAAAGAACGCTATAGGGCAATGTGATACACGAACAGCTTGCAGTAAGAAGTGTATGTAGTTTGTTGTTTTATCTGCCATTAATAAAGGAAGCACTTATCATCATTAGATTCTAAATATATATCTTTCTCTGTTTTGCTATTTATCACAGCTTAAAGCATGAGGTATGTCAGTCTTGATAATGATGGTAACAAGAAACTGACGGAAGAGATTAAATTTGCAGATTATTTATATTTCAATATGTTTAGATTTGTGTATGCTTTTTTAATGAATTTTGAATTACTTGTCATTTAATGAGAAATATTAAATAAGATTATTTAAAGGATTGTGAAATATTTCAACTTAATCTAAAAATGTTGAAGGAATTAAGGAAATACAAGAGTATTTATTTCTCTCATTATGTGTATTTACACATGTGCTGCAACTGAGAATATATATATATATATATATATATATATATATATATATATATATATATATATATATATATATATATATACATGTATTCGTTGAAGTGTAAGTGCACAAACACCACGCTTTTTTTTCTTTTGGAAATTTCAAACATGCTGAGTGCATATCCGCTAAAAGAAATTGACTTGAAGTACAAAACTTCTTTCGAAAATTTTTTTTTCCAATAAATGTAACTGCATTATGAGGTCCCATTTTACAAAATAAAACCAAAACTTTATCCTAAATGACATTTTTTAAGTGTCATCGATCTCTAAAAATTTATCACTTAAATTGCATTTCAGGAGAGACATCTTAAATACTCTGCTGAACACCACAGAATATGATCCCAGAATCTCGCCTGATTTTGAGAGAAGTACTTATATAACTACATCGACAAAATAAATGTTTTGCACTTGAAAATGTGTTTTCATAAATCTTGCAGAAATATTATACATGTATATCATGATTAGCGATATTGTCTACGTATTTTTTTTGAATGACCCTCGTATGTGCATTTTATCAAGTAGGATCTCGTCTTACGCTCACTAATTTTATCAGTAAATGTTTCGAGTACCTTTAGTTCGCTTTTTAACTATAGTTGAACTTAAATTAAGTCACTTCAAAAGTCTGACAAATTTCAAAACATCATATAAACTAAATTTTAAGAAGAAAACCGCATACTTATAAAGTTTGAGTTCAAAATCAATTTGCAAAAGTATTTAATAAACACAATGTCAAGAATTAAAGACATTTCTTTTTTGCTAGGGATATCAATAACTGAATGTTACAATAACTAAATATCTTGTTTTTAAATAGATGAGGCTACCGGGGTAAATGTCCAGCTTTCTGTTATAAGTATCGACTCCATAAATGAAATATCGATGGTAAGTGATTTGTTTTGCTAAATACATGTATATGGCTGTATGTGTAATTCACCTATATAAACTGTAAAAAGCGTCATTTCTTCAAAAGTTAAAAATTTTATCTGTTTATCTTTGAGTCAAAAGTGATAAATTTGTCTAAAAATTGTCAATTTGATACATGTAGTGCACATCGATCAATCTGTTTTCATTTGATTTTGATCTCATGTAAATCCATCAATATGTTCTTGTGTTTACTGTATGCAACCATAGGAAGGGTTATGAATGTACATTAAAGTCTAAATACTTCATCATGTTGTACGTAATTCCAACATTTCCTCACTCCTTTCCAAAAATCCCTTAATACATGGGTTTAACTTGTGACCGCAACATAGGGGACAGTTTTTTAAAGAGAGTTACTGACCAAAACTTCATTAAGAACGTAGAGAATAATAAGCTTAAGACATGTCTCCTTTTTAGGTTGCCTTTGATTTTACAACCCGACATTTTTTTTCTCCTCTATAAATTCTTATCAGTGATTTATCCTTTCAGAGAGGGTTTGCTCGGAGAATTCTGATTCTATAAAGCTAAACAATACGCAATTTCCTCATAAGTAGAAAGAGAAAGAAATAAAAGATATAAGAATGCGTGGGTCCACTGTACGAGGGGTGATCAAAAAGTTCGCGAACTATCTCAATATTTACAAAACCACAATTCAGATCAGCATGAAATTTGGTACACGTATAGTCATACACATGTTCTATCAATAACAGATGTTAAATAATGTTTTGCTCCGTGTTTGTGACGTCACAAAGTGAAAATGTCGTCAATATGTAGGTGACTTGTGACAAAAAATGGTTGACTCAGTCCTACTCGAGAAACGAAAAGCTGTAAAGTTTAACGTTATATCTTGGAAATTCCTTTGCAGTAGAATATGATAATTTGTACAAGGTTTATGAAAACGATAGACCTACCAGATGTTCAATCATTAATTAGATTGATTATTTTAGTGAAGGCAGGGAGATGGTTAAAAAGAATGTTTGTTCTGTTGCCCAGCGAAAGCAAGTCGGGGAAAAGATGTGTCCATAGTTGAGCAATTTGTTAGGAAACATCGCCAAGTTACAATTGGAAAAATAGTTGAATTTCTTAACAATAATATAATTATTAAATCCCTAAAATATCGTTTACTTTAGACTTTAAACATATGAGATATGATAAAGAGAAGGCACCCATACTTTATCCACATTGGATAAACGACGCTCCTAAGACAGAGGACTCGGGTTGTGATGGTCACCATGTTAATTCAGGGAAGGGATATCCTTATCCACCTGTCCTATCGCCGAGATTTAGCAATTTCTGACAGATGGACTGTTCTCATAATAAAAAATAACTTGCATGGTAAAAAATATGAGACTCGGAAATTTTTTTAGCTTCTGTGAACAGACCGCTACGGAGCATTTCACGTGACCGCCTGGATCACGTGATTCGCGCATGGGCAGAACAATGGCAGATGTGCATTAAAATCGGAGAGGACCACTTTAAAAAATAATAAACACTGAAACCTCATTTCATTTCTTTTAAGGGAGTAATTCATTTAGTTCGCGAACTTTTTGATCACCCCTCGTACTCTGCAAGGTTTGATACAAATGACTGCCTTTAAACACAAAGATTATTGCCTTTGAACTAAAAGATAATTGCGTTTATACGCAAATATATTGCGTTTAAACGCAAAAATTATTGCATTAAATTGCAAAATTATTGCGTTTAATCGCAAAAGTATTGCGTTTAATCGCAAAAGTATTGCGTTAAATCGCAATATTATTGCGTTTAAACGCAAAAACTTTTGCGTTTAATCGCAAAATCATTGCGTTTAATCGCAAAAATATCATTGCGTTTAAACGCAAAAACTATTGCGTTTAATCGCAAAGTTATTGCGTTTAAATGCAAAAGATTGCGTTTAATCGCAATCTTTTGCGATTAAACGCAAAGTGTTTTGCGTTTAAACGCAATGATTATTGCGATTAAACGCAATCTTTTGCGTTTTAACGCAATACTTATTGCGTTTAAACGCAATAAAAAAATATTTCTTTCTCTGAACTGGCCTCAACGGGCTTCCGTATTTTCATTTGTCAGTCCGATTTTTTTTTTTTTTTTTTTTTTTTTTTTGGATACTCAATGATAATCGCGAAATGTGTTTGTCACAGGTAATGAAAATATTGTAAACGTTGATGTACACTTATAATAATATAATTTCAAATACATATTTTACAAATGTCAAGCAAACATTTATTATAACAGGATTTCACCCTCAACGCCATTCTTCGTCAAACCTGGATAGATCCGCGCCTAAATTTTTCTCATCTCAGCAATATCAGCTTGTTGGAACTGGACCAGAGACGGATGGGCGATGTCTGGCTTCCCGATACTTTTTTCAGAAACGAAAAAAGTGGTACTTTACACGCAATCACTGTTCCAAATAAACTTCTTCATATACATAATGACGGTCGTGTTAGATACAGCATCAGGTTTGATTTCAATTTATTTTCGATATTTCAAAGCAATTTTTTACTTGGGAGCAATCGAATACAGAATTGCTAATCGTTTAACTAACTGCAAGACGTTCCGACCGATTAACCGGTTAATCGTATAAAATTTCTGTTCCGACCGATTAACCGGTTAATCGTATAAAATTTCTTGACATATTTTTTAAAAGTAAGTCTATCTATATGACAAGAAGACTAAAAAGACATTAAAAGTTAGAAACATTTTGTTTATCTTTATCAGAAAACTATACATGCATATACATATATATGAACCATAAAACATACGTGAGAATCAGATATTGATAATTCTTCAGAGCAGATCTCACACAAGTTCATTTTGCGTTATCGCCATGATCAAAACTATATCTGAACTATCACTGAACTCACGAAGTTTGTTTAAAAATATTATTGATTGTTTACTGCAAAAATAATCATACTCATAGTGCTCAACGGTGATTTAACTACATTAAAGATGTATCATTAAAGAATTCCAGGACAGTCAAAGTAACGAGTCGTGAGATTAAAAAATCTTTTCCAAACAGTTATTTTACATTTACTCGATAGTTATATAATACAAAAAGGTCAGAAAACTAGTCCAATTTCAAAAAAATCTAACTTTTTCTCTCAAAGTCCAGAATAAAGATCATACTGAACTCAGAAACTTGTTAAAGGTTCCGTCTTCCAAGACTGAGGATGCGAGAAGAACTAGACAAAGTGTTGCGCCGCCTGTCCAGAATTTTAGATATTATAAGGTCATTGTATTGACCATAGAATTCTTTAAAAGAGATTATTCCTAATATTGTGTGATCAACTTATTTGTCAATAGAGTATTCGTCTCTTTTTTCTATAGAATATCATTAACACTTTCCTGCACCATGGATCTGAGATTTTACCCTATGGACGACCAAATATGCTCCATTCTCGCAGAAAGTTGTAAGTACTGTTACAGTAGTAATAAAAACAAAAAATGTTCATTATTCTAAATTAGATTGTGAAAAATACGATATCGTATAAAATATGAATTTTAATAAAAACATATTTAAAGAGATTAATTTTTTTACTCAAAAGTATGCAAAAAAGGCTTGATATGCAATACGTAACTTTGTGATTCGTTCGTGAAAGGAATGTATTAATTTATTCCACCTGATTTCTTTTTCAAAATATCTTTTTGACCGTTTGAAATCAAACAAGCGATGAAAAGATCGAAAGTTTTATAATTTGAAAAAAGTCTATATACTATTCTACCTGTGTTTTGGTTTTAAAGAAGTATAATTAGACATGATAACAAATCATATTAATTTGTAGATGGATATTCTATTGAAAATGTGCATTTGATGTGGGAACCGAAGAATGCTGTCATAATTCAATCAACAGATGATGAATACACTTTACCACAGTTTTATCAACACAAGCCAGTAGAAACAATCAAGTACTCCATCGTCAATCCATCTAGTATGTACCGTATTGCATAAATTTATATCACATACGGTATATAGTTCATTGCATTTGGAATTATAGTATTCTGTAAATATCTTTCTGAAACATGTATTGACGTTACCTTGGAATTGTTGTAATGTTATAAAATTTATATTTTATACAATATTTATTCAGAAAATCTGAATGGATTGGACTCCAGGGAGTGCCTGTGGGTACCCTCTATATACAAAAAAGTAAAGATATGCATGGAATATGGAGATAACGAACAGTAATCAAGGTCAAACGTCCATTGAAACAATACAAATCAGGAACAAGCAGAGCAAACACGGGCCTTTAAAGGCATCAGAGGTGGGATCAGGTGCAATATAATGGAGGTGTAAGCATCTCATTTCGACCTGTCACCCGCCGTGTTTTCCTTGCCATGATCGGGCAAACGGAAAAATCCGTAAACAATTCAGTGTGTAAAAAATGGCCTAACAATTAATATGAAAAACGTCAGACAGCTTTCGACTTAATGATAGATTGTATTTGCAAACAAGATCATTGTATAACATGCAAAATGTTGACTTCAAACGAGACTGTTGATATCCTTGTTTCATCAACTTGTTTGTCAATAGCTTGGCTCGTCTCAGAAATTGTTCGTACGTAGAGCATGCATATACAATAGAATGAATGAAAATATACAGGTCACAAAACGTGCACTTGAAAATACACACATACACAGAGAGAGAGAGAGAGAGAGAGAGAGAGAGAGAGAGAGAGAGAGAGAGAGAGAGAGAGATGAATATGAGCCGATGCGTATTTTTATCAATGACATACATGTACACCGAAGCAACATCTATCAGGATTATACGTACTCATAACGTTTTCTGATCTGACAAACTTGTTATGTAATTCATTTCAAATGAAAATAAAGAACCCTATGTAAAAGAATCCTTAGCCTCTATGATTTTTCAAGTTCTTTCGATTTTTTTTAAAGTTCACAACTGTATTTATTTGTGTGTTATATGAAGGACACATCATAAACTAATGTTCTTCATCTTCATGTAAGTAATCACATCTTAGACGAGATGATTATTTGTTTTTGAGGTTTTTTTAATAAGCACTAAGATAACGTAATTGATTAATGGTTTGTGATTTTCTTTTTTGATGCCATGGTTCAAAACCAGTTCAACCAGTTTTTATTTTAGTATTTTAGCCTCGATATCTCGAATCCTCAGATATCTCGGGGTTTTTTCAAGTCTTATCGAGGTCGAAATAACGAGTTTTGACTCTATTTATGTGTAGGGGGTTTTAGGGGGTTTAATGATTCTTAATTTGATTAAGAAATTGATGGAAAATATGAATTTTTTTTGAGAGAGTGTAAGAACATTGTGGAGCGATTGTAATTTAGGGAATATTCTGCCTAATCATGAATTAAGTACTGTACGTCGTTTTAATTCTACGGTGTTAAAATTTCACGATTTCCCAAAAAGTACCAATCGCGATGGTTTTAATTTCACGCTGCAAGAATTAATTTAAATTTTGTATACGCATTTAAACGTTTTTAAAAACTAATAATAACATTCATGATGGGTTTTATTTCGCGGAAAAATGATAAATCGCGAACATAGAGAAATTAAAACCATCGTGATCATTTGCCAATCTACAGTACTTTTCGATCAAAGGCAGAACTTAACACTACACTACAAATGTCTTTAATTTACAGTAAGAGTAAGAAGACGATGCACAACAGAAAACAGGGCGTATCATTAATAACATAATGTGCTCATCATTTTATAGTATAAAAGTTACAAACGAACTTTTCAGAAGAAAAAAAAATCAATTGTAGCTTTAACTTTCAAATTTTCATTACATTTGAAAAATCAGTTTTGGCTGAGAGGATAAAGTTATATCAAAGGAGGGTTTACTTTGTTTTCTTAAGAAAGAGGATTTGAGAAGGAATGTACAATTACTATTATTTGTGTGAAAATTGTGTTTTCCTTCGCTTGACATGCTTACAGATGAAGACTTAATTGTTCATGTATTTAAAATAAAACCCTGAAAAATATTGCCCCCATCAATATGCATCATGCATTCTCTTCATGATGCCTTTTTGAAATCTTTATTTTTCAGATGTTGAATTCTCTGGTCTTGAGGCTAAACTGCATCTCCGACGAAACCTGGGATATTACATGTCACAAGTATTCATTCCGAGCATTCTTATCGTCACTCTGTCTTGGATCTCATTTTGGATTCACGTGGATGCTGTTCCCGCGAGAGTCTCGCTCGGTGTCATTTGTGTGCTTACCATGACAACGCAAAGTGCAGGTGTCCGGAACTATCTTCCACGCGTTTCCTATATAAAGGCTATAGACGTCTGGATGGCCTTTGGATTGGTGTTTGTTTTTGCAGCGCTTCTCGAATATGCTTACGTAAACATACAAACAAGAAAGCATCACAAACAAGTCAAGGTAGTTACCGATACCTTAATTTTTTTTTCTTTGAATGTATTGATTTTACATAATGATAATTAAGAATGGTTTATTTACTTTAATCAATCATATAAATTTAAATGCTTGTTATGACTAAGCTCAACGTATTATATGAACAAATATAATTTTTATAAAGATATGATAATTATCTATTATAGCGAACTTGTTAACATTCAAGGAAACAGATGCGTGTCCGCAAAACTACTTCTCATTCGGCTAGAACCCCTAAAATAAAATTTCAAAATACGCAAGATAATTGACTTCGTAATTAATCATGATGAAATTATTTTTTTTTCAGAAAAGAGAGAAGAAAGAGAAAAAGGGTGACATCAGCGGAAAAGAAAATGATCAAGATTATTTTATGGAAAGAGCTCGTCGTGTCGACAGAGTGTCACGAATTGTTTTTCCTGTGTCCTATACGTTATTTAACATTGTTTTCTGGAGTGCTTATCTATCGAAATAAACGATACACAATAAGTCAATCAATTAATCTCATTTCGAAATTGTAAAGAATATTGCTAAGTAAATCTTCTCATCCCTTTAAATACTGACGAGATTCGTAGATCATGTATCATGTATTCAAACATTTAAACTAATTTTGGTCCAAATAACAGTTATTCACTTGCTCTAATAAATGATGCTGCACACAAAAAAAATAATAGCTTGATGACGTTTGTCAGTAATATAAGAAAGGTCTTCGACTAGAATGGTCTTGACCAAGCTACTAACAGTCTAGATCTCTTTCCGAATCTGTGAACTGAAGCTTAAACTGGATAAAAAAAATTGCTATGAGAAATTAAGATTAAAATTTAAGATAAAAGAACTTGACCAAAATATTATATCATTCGAAAAAATGTTTATTATACAAAACGCGACAATTTCTTTGGTGTAAAATGGTAATTCCTGTAATTATGACAACGAAAATAAACATTTTTTGACAAGAAAATTATCATCTAATCATGCATTTTATAACAAATAACCCTAGTTGTGACCTAAAGAAATCTAAACAAGGTTAGTGGATTTCATTTTAGAAAATTTGTAAACGCATACATAGCGTAAATTAATACCAGGCTGAAAAAAGTACTTCTACAGTAAATGTTTACAGATTGAATTTTCTTATAATTTTTCAGTGAACACAAAAATGTATAATTGAGGACACTAGCAAAATATATTCAAGTATAAAGTGCATGTTACACAAAAATATATTTGCATAAGGAAACGAAATATTTCAGTACACGTTTTTTATTGTAATGGTCATTAATATAACCAGGAAATCTCAGGGAGTCTTCTACATACTGTTTTATTTATTATGAATTTTCTTCCTTCTAGTGGATAAAATCTTCCTTAGTTAAACAATTTCTGAAGAAAATATTCAACCAAACTTTACAAAAATTTTCATATATCAAACAGGGTCAGGAAAGGCCAGGTTTTTGTTATTATTAAAAAAAAAGGAGCAAGGAAGAGGAAATTGTCAGTATCAAATGAATTTATTTTCCAATAAAATGATTCTTAACTATAGAAACCGAAAACTTTACACTCAGTTCTAAAGAGGAGAAACCCTAATATAATACAATACAATGCAATTTTAAAGAAATTTTCACTGAATAAATAAAACACATTGGCAAAGAAGATCTCATATTTAAAAGCCTAATCAATGTTTAGGCATTGATAATAAATGTAGCTTAACAAAAATAGACAAAGCAGGGAAAAGTTCCCATACATCATAGATTATTTTAAGCCTACAACTGATTTAACTGTTATAAATCATATGGTTTGATAAAGATACCACAGAGTGTGACACATCTGTTTCAAATTTAGATATTTTACTAGAAAAAGACGTTAATTGTAACCGACCAACAAAGCTTTATGATAAACGTGATAACTTCAACTTTTCAATCGTCATCTTCCCTTACTTATGTAGCAATATACCCTTATCACCTGCATATGGGGTTTATATCTCTCATTTGATTCGATACGCAAGAGTATGCTCTACGTATGATCAATTTCTAAAACGAGGCAAGCTATTGACAAACAAGTTGATCAAACAAGGATATCAACAGTCTCGTTTGAAGTCATCTTTTTGCAAGTTTTACGGTCGATACAATGCCCAGCACATACAACTATCATTGAGTCAAATGCTGACAGACGTTTTTCATACCACTAAGTATTTGTTAGGCCATTATTTATACACTGAACTGTATACGGATTTTTCCGATCATGACAAGGAGCAAACGACAGGTGTGACCGGTCGGCAAGGGATGCTCACTCCTCCCTGGCACCTGCATTTTGAGGTCCGTGTTTGCTCTGTTCCAAATTTTTATCGTTTCATTGGACTTTCGAGACTGACTACTGTTTGTTATCTTCATATTTCATGTAAAAGGTAAAGATAACGATCAATGATCGATCTAAAAAAAAAATCCATAAATATGTGAAGAGGGCATAAAACAAGGACCCCTGGAAATTCCAGGTGTGTAATCAGGTGTCTAGGAGGAGTAAGCATCCCTTGTTGACCGGTCACACCCGCCGTGAGCCCTATGTATGGTTTCAAGTAGACAGAATTATCCGTAGTCAATTCAGTACAAAAACAAAGACCTAACAATTGGTATAAAACAAATCAGCCAAAATACGACCCAATGATAGGTTATGTTTGCTAATAAGGTCATTATAACGACCATAAAATTTACGAAATGCTGACATTTTTAGGCAGTTGAAATCCCTGTAACATCAACTTATTAGTGAGTAGTCTACCTCGATTTAAAAATTTTTCGTACTCAGAGCAAGCTCATGAGTAGCGAATAAGATGGGAGACATAAATACCATAAGAAGGTGATAGTGGAATATTACTATATAAATAAGGAAAGTTGACTATGGAAAAGCTAAATATATTAGACATCTCGTTTGTCAAACAATTTAGTTTTTAATTGGCCTTTATCGTCTATAGTCAGTAAAATATCTAAATATGAAACAGATGTGGCGGACTCTGTATTGTCTTTTATTTCAAGTTCACAAGGATATATCGAGTCGACATACGAATGGAAATAACTATTGTTAATTAATAAAACATCGTCGATCTATCCAAATGTCGAATTGAAGGCCACAGCTAATGTTTTCTTCTTCTAGTGTAGAAGTTTTTTTTTAATAAATTCTCCTTCATAGGAATACAAAAGCAGGTAAGCTAATAAAGGAGCGCAATTAGTGCCTTCGAAATTCAAATAGTTTATTGGAAAACCTGGTCTCCGATGACTACATAAATGTTGTTAATGAAGAACTCCAGCATCCTTTTAATATCAACTTCAGAGTATACTTATGTGTACAATCAGAGTGGTTCTTAACGAAGTACATGTAAATTTTTTTGAGGAACAATCACAAGATGTGAAAATTTCTGAGTTCCGTTTTTATTTAAGAAGCAATTGTCTATGATATCAAAAAGCCTAGATTTTAATTTATTGTGAGGAATTGTTGTTTAAAGTGTAGAAAAAGTTGTAAGTTTTGATGTTATTGACTTTTGTCAAATTTGGTGATTTTAAAAGTTTCTAAAAGTTCTTTCGAGTTTTTGAGGATCCGCATCTGATTTACACCACTTCTAGAATATGCTGTAGCACAGTATGTCTGAAGTTTCTTTACAACAGTATATATTTTGGTAAGGGGTAATGATAAGGGCTTGTTAGAGCATTTGCTGGACCCAGCAATGTATCTTTGTTTGCAAGGATTTTTACGAAGTGTAGGATTCCAGTACAGGTAGGGTAGATCGAACTCACCTCGGTTGACTGGTATATTAAAGGTATTATACACTGAGATATGATTTTGAAGAATTTCTTCTTTGGAAAATGAACTGTGAGTATATATAGGATTTCCAGACGTAGAATTAAAACCAAGTTCTTCCAAAATACAATTATGATAGTGAGCCTTACAAACAAAGACGATATTGTTACCAGCATTGTCAATTGGAACCATAGCATATTTTTCGTGTAGTCGCTCTAACTCTTTCATAATCAGATAAGCCCAACGTACCTTCGGCCTGAACAGTGGACCCATGGGGTCATGATTTACCAATTTTGGTAGAGTTAAATTAAATTATATAGATAGTTTTTCTACTACATGTGTAGAAGATGTGAAGAAGATTTCAAAAGCGTTTTACATCTTTAATATAATGACAATTTAGCCTCACCCTGGGGCCTGAATGCTGGACCCAGGTAATAAATATGTAAGGATTTTGGTAAAGTGTAATGCAAATTTGGTAATGGGAAATGCACACATTATTGTTTCAACTGTTTGCCCACTTGATGTCCTTTAAAAAAAGGATATTTTCAAAGGTGTAATATAGTATGCAGTATGTAATATTCAAAATATGACCGATTTAGCTCCACCCTGGGGCCTAACCCATAGACCCGAGGGTTACGATTTTTTCTTTACAATTCTGGTAGACGACTCAGTGTTGTATTCGTATACACAGTTTGTTCAATGTCCATGAGTAGAAGAGAAGGCTTACATAGCAGTCATGTATTAATTTTTTAATCTATGACCAACTAAGTGCCATCCTAGAGCCAGAACGGTATGCCCATGGGGTATGAATTTCACAATTAAGGTAAAAGGTTGCGTAGTTATTAAAATCAAGCAACAGTTTGTCCGATAGATGTGCATGTTCAATCAAATTTAATGCATTTTCAATATATGAATAACTTAGTGTGAACCCTAAACCCAGCGGTCATGAATTTCACAATTTTGGTAAAGGTTCATTACTCATTATAATCATGCAAACAAATTTAACTGCTTGATATCTAGGTGTGATGAAGATTTTTGAAAATATTTTTTGATAGTTTAGTTTTGGCCAACTTCTCAAGCTTTAGGAAGTCAGAGGTCATGAATTTCAAAATTTTTGTTTTCTTTTACCCATAGATCCCAAAATTGGTTTATAGCAGAAAGAACTACGCACGGTAACTCCCGATTCCCGCCTAAATTTTACAATTTAATTCAATATTGATGACAATTTGGCCATAAAATCTTTGTTTAATACAAAGAACAGTTCAATGGTAATTGATTAAATTAATTATTTTAATTCCAGTGCTAAATAGTAAAATATCCCTAATTCCAGATCTTGAAATAAGGGTGGTAGACGATATTTTCCACTGAAATCGGGCTATAAAGCATCAGCATATTCTGAAATAGTCTTGGATATGAATAAATGTTTCTTAAATCTTTTCTTATGTTTTATGCATATAAAATTAAGCAAATATATTAGTAAACTAGATGAGATCTCGTTGCGAGCAACGAGTGGGTCTTCCGTCCGATTTTGATAAGATGAGATAAAAATTTGACTGAGATTTTCGTTCAGATATAATGATATAAATAAATTGTTAAGACGAACAATTTTGCTTTAATAATGTTTAACAAAATATTGATCATAATACATTAAAGACTTTCGGCCCTTCTTGGCCCCTTATGTGAGAGGTCAGCCCCTTTTTCTTGATATTATCTTACAGCT